TATAAATTTCCGATTTTGTTTATTATAAGGATTATCATTTTTTGTTCCCTTTAAAAACGATTTACCAATTAAATATTATAAAATATAAAAATTGGCATACTATTATTCTTAATAACTTTAATAATAATACAAAATATTGCAAAAAAATTTTTAAATTATTCTCTATTTTGCAATTCTTATTTTCTTTTAGTCTTTTAAATTTCTTTTTAGTTATAGAACCTATTTGAAAACATGATATTTAACAAAGCCAAATTGATAATATTTGGGTTAATCCTAAAATTATATTAAACTTTAGCCTATCTATACTAATTAACCTAGTAAAAATTATAGACAATAACTACAAAATAATTCTAACTATTTAAAAAACTAACTTTAACTTTAAACTTTCAAGATTTAAAAAAAGAAAAACAAAAAAAAAACAAAACTCTTTTTAATAATTACTTAAACCAATTTTTATACTAATAGAATTGCAAGAAACTTATATTAAAGCATTGCCTATACTAGTGATGTGATCTGAATATCTAAATCCTATCTGATTCAGATTTGTCTCCTTGAAAAGATATCTGTTATTTAATATTAGATAGGATACTATATTCATTATCTGATTAACAGATATCTTCTATTTTAAATAAATTTTACAAAATAAATTCATAATATAAATTTTCCTTGTTATTGTATTTATTACAAAGTAATTTTATAATAAAATATTTATTGTATTTATTACAAAGCAAATTATAATAAAATATTTAAGTATAATAAAACATATTTTGCTATATATACTACAATATTGCAGCGTAGTATTATAATATAAGTTATAATTATTTAATGTTTCTTTTATAAATATGTTATTATTCAGAAGGATGAATATTTTGATATTTGGCAACATTCTTTTTTAAAAATAACATCCTTTTGAATAATTCAGGTGTAATGCAAGTCCTTTTCAATGTTAATAAGTTACTAGCATTATTAAATAAATGCTCACTAGGAGTTGATGTTGCTGGAATTTCCAAGTATATTCTTGCCAATTTAGATAAATTATTTAATATTTCTTTTATAAATATGTTATTATTCAGAAGGATGAATATTTTGATATTTGTCAACATTTCTTTTTAAAAATAACATCTTTTTGAATAATTCAGGTGTAATACGAGTCCTTTTTAATATTAATAAGTTACTAGCATCATTAAATAAATGCTTACTAGGAGTTGATATTGCCAGAATTGCCAAGTATATTCTTGCCAATTTAGATAAAATTAGAAATTTTTTTGAATGTAGATCTCACTACATTAAAGAGTTATTTTATAGACTAATTTCTAGTATTCTAAAATATTCTTCAATTTCATCGGCTACTTAAAAATTATCTTTTTTTAATAATTTTAGTAAGTAAGGTATATATAATAAATCATTATTGATTGTACAATTATCTATTTCATTATTATTTTCTGAATCTTCACATTCTCTATTATATAAAATTTAGTAAAAAATTGTTATAGTAATTATATTGGTCATTTTTTAAATTACAAAGTTATACATACTCTAAACTTTTATGTTCATTTTCTAATAATTTTTCATTATTGTATAAATTTTTAAGAACATCTTTAGCTGTTAATTTATTTGTAATCTTGACAAATTCTAGAGATTTAAATCGAGGATCTAATAAAGCAGATACTAATTCTTGAAGTATTTAATTAAGATAATAGTAACAAAGTATTGTATATATTTTTGACTTGATTTTATTTAACAAACCCATAGTATTAATAGGATTATTTAATTTAATTTGACCTTAATTAGTTTGTTCTTTTTCTTCATAATTAAATGTATCCTTTTCATCTTCATTATTCAATTCATCTATTTCAACAATTGTTGGTTTAAACATTTCCTTTAATTTTTCAATTACATAATGTATAAGAATTTGTATTGAATAGTATGAGCCACCCAAATATTGAGTAGCTTCCGCAAATGGTTCAAGAACTTGTATAAGATTTTTTAATAAATCTCACTCTTGTTTTGCTAAATTTATTTCACGCAAATGTTTTCCATCTTTTCATTCATCAGAATTTTCATAAGTTGTAAGATAAATAATAAGAAGCTCAATATAAGCTTTAATTTGTATTAAGTGTATTTATACTAGATAAGAACTGTTCTATCTCATATTACAATTAGAGATATAGTTGATTAAATAATCTGTAGTTTTTTTTGCATTCTATAAATATAATAAATAAACTATTTAAAATATTAAATATATACTATCAGCAAAAAAAATAGACCGATATATATCGATTACTAGCCAGGTAATTATATATCGATACCAATCACCCTGCCGATTACACACGATCGTGATAGTAATCGATATATAGCGAATTCGTTTACTAGTGGTAATACTAAATATCGCTATATATCTGATTCAATTAATAGCAATATTTGATAGCATTCGATTATAATCATGCTACTGATTTCTAATGATTACGATAAATAGCGAAATTTATTGTAGTTA